AACATTTTTATTTTCAATTTCCTTAGAAGCTTTGATCTGAGCCAGCACGGCATGTGCACATGGCCATAGTATCAACATGCTGTACGTCTCCTCGTCTCTTCGTCCTTTTTGGAGCCACAGTATGTTGTCGTTGGCAAACTTTGTGACAAGCCGCCCTCCTCCCGCTGCTCGCACACATATTTTTATGTTTGTGTGCAGCTGACAGTAACAAGTTCAACAAAAGCGCCAGCGCTTTTAACTTTATTAAGATATCACAAACATACGCACACTCCCATTGCCACGCCTGTGGAACGCCCACCGGGGCACGCTTCAACAGACTTTTCATATAATTTGCAGCAATGACAAGAAGAAGGGTTTTCCTTAATTGAATTTCAACGCCATTAAAAAAGAATTATACCAGCCTGTTAGGCGAAAGATGCGAGTTCAAAGTTGCGAGCTGCGAGCTGCGAGCTATGAGTTGCTTGCCACAGAGTTGCTTAGATAATTGTAATTATCACAGTCATACTTATTAAGTTCCATTATCATTATTAAACATAATGTTGGTGACACTAATGATGGCTGCTGTAGCCTTGATGGTTCCGCTCAAACCCTCAACGTTCGTTTCCCTCTAGAAAGCTCAACGAGCTGCCAGCAATAACCTCAAGCCAGCTGAGTGTCAGTGCCTGAATGGTTGTGCTGCAAGGGGTTCAGAGTACATGCTGCACAGAATGTGGGGGCAGCGGCAACCACAGGGTGGGGACAAGTTAGGGGTCGCTCATGTTGATGACAACTTGATCTCAAGCAGATTGAATTCAGTGAAGCAAAACTATTATTATAGATGTACAATAATTAAAACTCAGAATAAGAATATAAATTAATATTAAAAAATATTAATAAGAGCACTTTATAATGAAAGTGTAAAGCATAATTGCAAAATTATATACAAAGCATTCGTTTCAGTTGTTGACAACGAACACATAAAAAGCTTCAAATTAAATTTTAAAGAGTAAATCTCTTCCTGAATATATCGGAGTACATAACAAATAAAATAAAATAAAATATGAAACACATATTTAAATGATAAAAAGAGGTCAGAAAACAATAGACAAGTCGAATGTATCTTTATGTATTTGTGAATATATAATAAAGGCCAAATATTTTAAAGTCGAACTGCAGAGAAAAGTTCGGAAAAGGCAGCTTTGTTACCTGTAAGGCAACAAACAGCTTACATAACATTTTCAGGCATCACCTGCAGGTCTCTCAGCAACTGTCACAATTTAATTTTTTTTTTGTGGAAACCTTATCAACGTGACGTGCAAATGTATTCAATTAACGTTTCTCACAGTCTTCTACCCTTTATTTTAATTAAGAAATGTTCACTTTTTCATTTCGTTTTACGTTTCTATCCGCATTTTGTGCTGTCAAAAACTTGCCCCATTCTGCGCCGCCAACCCCTTTGTGGCTGCAGTTTGACAACTTCCACAGCCGTAAGCAATTGCATTTGAACGTTTAAGTGCTGCTCGCTTCGCCACAATTGCTGACCCACAAACAATCATATCTGCACATGGCCAAGAAGAGCAATTATTTGCAAGTAACGGTTTTTTCTTTGTGCTGCCATTTAGCAAAAGTGCTTTGCCACTTGCGATTGTATCTAGTCAAAGTTGCCAAAACAACGGAACCGGAGCACAACCGGATACGGAGCAGGAGACGAAGGCATATCTATGCACAGATGACCAAATAATTAATCTTTTGGGCCACACTTCTGTTTTATGCCTACCGCATTTAGGGCTTAAGATTAATTACATTGTGTATACGACGCGTTTGAGGGCTCGTCCTTTCAAGGCGTGAGCAATTGGCACTCAATTTATTCGTTCTTAAATCTCAACGCAAATAAAGACATAAGCAAGTACGAGTACTATATAAATATGCATATGTGAGTGTGGATTAAAAACATGAGAATTAATAATACATAAACTGAGGCTCAGACTACAAATGCGGCTCCAGCAGTCTGCGGCAGGACAGGACTCAAGCAATGGCAGGCTGTCAGGATTTGGTATGCCGGGTTGGGTGGGCTTTGCCGCTCCAATTGCCCAATTGAAAGAGAAATTTGTGGCGCGCTACCGTTTTCTTGGCAGCAATTTCGTGACCTGCCGGCGACAAACAAGCGCTAAAGGGGCACACGGCACGAAAGTTTTGACGGCTTCTGCATGCCAACACCGCCCACGACTCGTACCACTCTCCCCCTACTGAGCCCAATTGTGTTGCTCGCGCTTTAAGCCAGCTTTGGTAACGCCCACGTAAACAATCCTTTTCTTTTTTGGGGGTTGTGTGGGGTGTCTTCTTCGATTGTGGCATGTGCACCTGCAGAATGCAGAATGAAGAATTGCGAATGCAGAAAGCACTTTGTGGCTCCGCTGTCAGCAACGGTGACTATTGAACTCCCACGCGGAACGAGAACGTCGCATGTGTGCCAAAAAAACAAAAAAGGAATGCGAAACGTGAGCTCGAAACTTGCACAGAGTTGCTGCCATTGATTTTTATCGCACTACATACATAAGTGAAGACGACGCAAGACATGAAAGTCAATAATAAATAAGAAGCATGAATTCGACGGCAGCGATACTATTCTGACTATAGTTGTAGATACAATAGGAATGGGAAATGTTGCGGAGATGTAAAGAGTATATAACTTACGTATTTTCGAAATTTAATGGCATAAAAAATAGTAAATAAAATAGATATTAATTTAGGATAACCAATAAGGAACAGGCATTTATTTTTTAAATGTATTTATTTTATAAATTTTATATCTTTTATAATAAACTAGAGCTATTCATAGTTTTCAAAGCGATTTTCTATTTGTTTCTACTAACCCGTGAAGTTCAGTTAGATATGTATTTATATGCGTGATAATATTTATAGGATATGTATACCTTATACGGCATGTGAATCGAATAATGTCGAATTTGCAATATTAACTGAATTATTCTTGATATTTTATGTAATTTTTAAGTAAAAGCATTTCCCTTAAAGACTCGCAACAATATAAAAAATATAAAATACAATTCCATTATGCTTTTTAATTTATTAGAGAGCATTATAAATTTAAGGAAAATTGAGACACTGCAAAACAGAAACAAGAACAAAGTAAAGAAGACTTTTTGCAAATCATTAAAAGCGCACTCAGATGTGGAATCTAGTGCACATTGTAAATATGGGTATATCTCAGTGGCTAGTAAACCATGACAGGCTACTAAATATATATCTGTTGGCAATATATTGAGCTAGTAGCACATACCTATATATAAAACATATCGTGTAGTTCGGGGCGCTGTCGCTGTTTGTCATATGCACACTCGGCGCCTTGCCAAATATTGATTATGCCTTCAAAAAATGAATGGAAGTGCGCTTCGCTGACTTTGGCTAAGTGGAGAAGGCCGAGACGGAGCGGGTGCTAAAGTTTGCCAACGTATGCGCGTCATCAGGCAAAGGACATCCGGGATAGCTACTGCACAAAGGGACTAAACTAAAACTAAACTATGCATATACTAAAGATAGCCTCAAAATGTCAAGTGACCTGGCACTAGTAAAATCAACTTTGGCCTTTGCCAAGCTAACAACATTAATAGCCCAAATAAGCGCCTCTCCCAGATATGTGTATATCGCAGCTGTCACACTAATGGCGAGACCATCAGCGAATGGCAAAAGTTGTACAGTTTAATGTCGCATGACGCTTAAGAATTATTCGCATTTATCGACAGAGTTTAAAAGTGTTCACAACTTTTTGCGGTGGCTCATTGACTTAAGCTGCCAATCAAAAGAGTTGAATAAGTCAATGTCCCTTGTGATTGACAACCAGCTGCATGATAATTAGTGAGAAACAAATTATTGTATATATATATAAAATATGTGTATGAAAAGCCTATTGGAACTTTAAGAGTACCTTTAGAAATTTTTAATTGCTAGCAAAATAAGTTATTGCTTATTAGATGGAACTAAGTGTTAATGAGCCAACCCGGATTGAATCAAGCATTTATAAGAAGGAAATACATAGTTATTTTGTGGCAATTGTAGTGCATAAGCTTGACATAGACTAAAATTTAAGGTGTATCTCATTGAAGAGCACAAGTTACTTGTAAATGCTCATGTTCAGCTATTTTCAATGCAATGCAACTTAATGGGTGCGGCCCCAAATTGGTTAAGACACCTTTTAGCCACGCCCAATGGCTGACAATGAAATTGCAGAAAGCCGTTAAGAACCGTGCAACATCTTCCTGTCACATTTGTTTACACTGGCATACTGGCTGCAGCAGCAACAGCAGCAGCAGCTTTGTTGTCGTGTCCACTTTTATCACCTGTGAGCTTTTGCTGGGTCTTTGCATTTTATGGCATTGATGGGCGCGCCTTCACTCAAGTTGTCAAGACTCATAAATTTGGACAGCACTCCCTGATTATCAGCAGTAGGATGGCCGCTTCAGCTGATTGCTTATCAGACGCACGTACAAACTGCACAAATAGTCAGAATGGCCAAAACCAGAACGGCTCTAATGCCGTTTGACAACTTACAAATGTGTTTGCTCAGCTCGTGTAATTGTTAACGATAAAGAAAGCGCCAGACAAACAACAAGTATAACAAAAACACAAAAAGTTTATAGGGTGTCTGTTGTACCCCTTCCCAGTGCTAACTGGCACTACTGCTAACTGCCACATGGGGTATTATTTGTTGCTAGTAGCGATGTGAAGTACGTAAAGTACGTAAAGTAGCATGTCAAATTAGAGCGCTAATTGACTCGCAAAGGGGTTGCAAAGGCGTGGGGCCAAAGCAATATGCAAATTTGCCAAAATTAGTCGAAAATATCGATTGAATTAACATAATTTCTTAGCTGCCTAACATTACCCCAGCAACAATTACACACACACACCGCACACCAACACCCCATGTGTACGAGGAAAACACAAAATGTAATATTCGGGCATGCTTATTAAAATTTGCAAGTCAAACGTTGTTTTTGTACACTTACCTGGCTAGAAATACACGCACAGTTGAGTATAGAGTTATATATATATATATATATATATGTGTGTGTATGCAGGTATAATAGGCTATAGTTAACAGTGAGAGTTTTGCTTAGAGTTGGAAACGTCGCTTGATTTTTCAAGCTCACGCACTGAGACGCATTTTCTTGTTTAGCTGCTGTGGCTTACATTTTCCGCTTTTCCAATTTCTTGTCACAGACACACGCGCGCTTTATGTGGCTACAAATAAAAAACATATATGCATATAGATTTCGACATATACTGTATATTTACTCTATACTTTTTCACTTGGTTCAAAATTATTGCACTGGGCACGCACACACACACACATAACAGCACTGGATAGTAGAAGAAGTAGTAGTAAAAAAAACTAACAAAGGAAATAATGGAAGCAAAGGCAAACATTCGGGGAGTTAGTGTCAAATAAAAACTTATTTGGTTTGTCATTTATGATAATGCGTATACGTCCTGCTGGTCACGGGTTTTTCACTATGAAATTTACAGAAGTCACAGGCTCAGTTGTTTCCGTTATTCGCGTTCACGTCGTCCTTTTGTCTGCTTTGCTGTACGCCTATCTGTCTGCGTTTTGCTTGTCTCCCTTTTTCCTATACGAATGTATGTGTGTGTGCCTGTGTCTGTGTGTGTGTGTCTGTGTGTGTGTGTGTGTGAGTTGTGGTGTTGTTCGTGGTACACGCCTTACTTTCAAAGCACATTCAAACGCACACAATAATGAAATATATTTATTTTTTGTTTCGGCATACTTCAAACACTTTCCACTCGTGCTGCACTCAATTTCTAAATTTAATTTGTTGCTAGTTTGGTTGGTTGTCAAAAATTGTTTAATTATTTAGTTTAGATTTGCATTTATAGATGCCATACGAATTGATTTGGTTTGGTTTTGGTTCGGATTCATATTTATCCGCTATGCACAATTTCCAGCACAAGACACTCCAAAGTTTAGCCACGAACTGAGCCAGCCAAGGCGAAACTTCACATCAAGAAGCGAAAAACCGAAAAGCGCACACAAGAAAGGAAAACCGAAACGAGAGGACTTCCTTTCCAATGCCTGCGTACAATCCTTTGTACGAGGACGAAGCGCAAAGTTTACTCGGTGTGCGGAATGTGTTATTTTGGAAGCACTTGAATGTGTTGTTGCCTGGAAGAAGTCTCGCTCTCTCACACACACACACACACACACACACACACACACACACACTCTCTCTCCACCTCTATCTCTTTGGCAGTTACTTGCTCTCTCTATTTCCAACCATATTGCGCTCTCTCTCTCTCTTTCTGTCTCTCTCTCTGTCGGCTGGTGTGCGTGCTGTGGCACTTGCTGCCTGATATTATGCGTGTCCTGCGCTTTACTCTTACACACACTCACACACACACACTCACACACACACACACACGCACTTTCACTGCCTTCTCAATTAGTGTTGATGCAAACTTTGATTGCCAACGGTCTTTTTTGTTAGTCACTCAATTAGAACCGCATTTTGTTTTAAGTATTTCTTTCAATTCGAAATTTATTTGTACACTTTTCAAACAAAACAAAAACACTTTTTAAGAATTTATTTATTGGCCATGCTTATGCTTTTTGTGTGTGTGCGGGCGCACAAAGCGTTAAAAATAGATGCCACAGGCCTCGCCAGCAGCAGCGGCAACGACAACGTCAACATCGACGGCAACTGCGACAGCGACAGCATCAAGTTCAGATAGCGCTGATGGATAGACAGGCAGACAGACAGACAGACGAAAAACGCACCACGGACGCTGCACGAGGCGAGTGGAAGTTGAAACTTTTGACCTTAGTCAAGTGAAAACGTGACAATACACATCTATGTGTATGTATGTGTGTATGTGTGTGTGTGTATGTGTGTATTTGTCTGTGTTCGCCTTGCTGTAAACGGCTTATGCGCCTAATTGGCCAGGCCGCCCTTTTGGGCCAATTTAGTCGAGGCGCCCTGACGAATTATTAATGCAACTGCACGTTGCTCGACTAATGGCCAAAACTACTGACGACCCCTGACTACTAGCTAATTACCGTTTGCTGCATTAATAATAAGTTGTGAGCGTTCTGCGGTTAGTTGCCCTTCGTTTCATTTCGTTTGTTTTAAGAGGCGACGATGTCGCCGCGCCCTGTTTGCTTTGACGCATACTCATGAATTTATGCCCATAACCCCCTTTATCTAACCCCTACCCAGCCGCCACTTTGTTGCCTGCTGCTCAACGCTTTTATGATTATTGCGACGCCGCGTCTGCGTCTGCCCCGTGTTTTTTATTTTTGCGTTTTTCTTCTTTTTTTTTTTTTTTTTGGTTTTCCAAACTGACGCCAGCGACAACATCTGCCCCTCATTTGTGCCCCGAAAGCACCCACATTCCCTGCTCCACCTCCACATCCACCGACTGTTGTCAATCATAAGGCCAACCCTGTGAAGGAGATTTTGTTTTGGTTGCTGCTGCTTAGGCTGCTGTTTGGCAATTTGTTGTGTGTTGTTTGCCTATTTTTCGATTTGTGTGCCATTTATCTACTGTAAGTGGCCGTCTGGAATCGAAATCTGGGTAGGGCCAAAATGAGGGGCGGGAGGTGGGGGAGTGAAAGTTATGTTGCGGATGCTGTGGGCATTATTAATGTGCGGACATTTGATTGCGGGCCCCCATGCACCACTTAGGATTAGACAACACACGCACTACACACACACACACACACACACACATACACAGAATATAGTTTGTGTGTGTCCTTTTGGCTGGTGAAAATCAAGTGAATGCTTGGCAGAACTGTAGAAAAAATCAATGGATTGCCTTTGGCCGCTGTTTTCTGCACTTTTAAACGCGTCACTACAAATTTGTGATTCAACAATAACAAGAACAACAACCACAATATTTTGCAGCTGTGTGTATTTGTGTGTTTGGTTTTCTTGCTATTTTCTTTCATTTTTTTTTTTGCGTGTCCCTCGAGTGCTTTTTGTCGCACTTGATTTATTTGACGCTTTAAGCTTAATTTTACTTTCTATTTATTTATTCTATTTCATGCATTTGTCGAGCATTTTTCAAGAATTTTCTCAGCACATTTCGTTTAATTTTCAATATATTCAATATATATTTATATTATATTTTTTTTGGCAGACTTTTCGCGACACTTTTTACTTGCACTTACACGCATCGGAAACGGCAATGGAAACCGCATCGAATTCGGTTTTCAAGGTAAGAACCAAAGCGGGCTGCATTAACATTAAATCGCTTGCACACACACGTTGTTTGTTTTTTTTTATATATATTTTTTTGTATATTTTTTTTTTTGTTTTTGATATTTGTTGTACTGTGCGTTTTATAGTCGAGAATTTAGTGTGCTCTGCAAAACACGACACGTCCGTTTTCAGCTGTGGCCGTTACTCCACTGAACACCGAACATCGAACACTGAACACTGAACACAGAACACTGAACTGATGATGGCGCTGGCAATGGCGACCACATCAAGTTCTTTTCACAATAGAAAAACTTTTTCTCGCTACTCGCTCTTTTCGCTTTCGTTCTCACACTTTCGTTCACTCTCTCTCTCTCTCTCTCGCGCGCTCTCGCTCTTCCATTCCTCTCTGCCGCTGACTCTGTCTCTGTCGCTGTCAGTCTGTCTGTCTCTTTCAGTGTTTGTCGGTGGCATTGCTTTTGTTGCTGCTGTTGCTGCTCTGAGTGATAAAGCAAAAAGCGAGCCAGACCCATAGAACGCGTTAATTTTCGTCAGCTCCTTCTGCTAGTTAATTTTTTTTTTTTTGTTCCTTTTATTTGTTTCATTCATTGTCAAGTTTTCATATTTTGTTGTTATTTTCCTTCTCTTTGTGTTTTTTTTTTTGTTTCTTGCTGTTTATCACACTGCTATCAGTTAGTAGGAGCTGGCGCATTTTTTTGCCTTTTTCGTGGGTTTTATTATTTATGGTCACTTTGTTGGGGCACGTGACAGTTCATTATAATTTAAAGCATATGGATGTGCTTTCTTTTATATTTGCTTTTTATCGCTTACTTAATATGTGAAGGCATAAAGCATGTGTTTGTGCGTATCTGTGTGTGCTTCTGTCAAAAGAAAAGTTTTTTTTCATTTCCGGCGGCAATGAATATAAATTACAAATCGTATGGACGCATATTGAATTGATGGTTAAGACTAAGCGTCTATATGAGAAAAACTACTAGCTGCTACTTATCGCATTAAATGGGATACTGGGATAAATTCAGCTGTGTAACTTTACTTAGAAATTAAAGTGCTTTATTCATTTTACAAATCGCTTAAAATATAAAAGTGTTCCATTCCCAAATCTATTTATTAAACTTTTATTAAGTTAATCATTTCTGTAATTATGTACTAATTTGACAAACTCTATTAAAATAAAAAAAAAAACTTTATTTTATTGTTAGAAATTAACAACAACAAAAACGGTTTATTTTCAAACATTTTTTAAATTATACGCGTTACATACTTATTTCATAGCAATCAGCTTTTGCACTGAGCAAACTGTTCAAAGCAGAGAACACAACCAACAGCTCCAGCATGACAGCTACCTGACAGACTATGACACGCACTCGTTTTTCATGCGACTTACGTGCGTTTTCCGCTATATCTCTGAATAACATAAAAAGTTATTTGATGTCTCATCAATTAGGCAACAGCTGATAGGTTAGTGCAAAATAAATGATAGTGACACTAACTCGGCGCATACACACATATATCGGACACCATCAATACTGATGCCCAGAGAGACGGCAGTTGATGTTTTCATTAGACAACGACAACGATGACCACGCAATAGGCCAGACAGACAATAGGCCAGACAGTTAGCCGGTTGGCCACTTGGTCACTTGGCCAGTTGCCAAGTCTCTAATTAACAGTTTCGTAATTGAAACTAAGCCTTCGCCGGATAATGGGTTGGGGATGGGAATGGAAATGGGAATGGGGAGAGCGACAGTATGGCCCTACAATGAGTTACGTGTGTTTGCAAATGGTCCCGATAATTTTGGAGAAGGGTTTTTTGATTAATGAGCGCCTTAAGTGATACTGGGCAGCTTGTGCCCCGGACTGAGCATTCAGCTGAGAGAAAAAACAAGCCCAGCTGATGAAGTCACTAATTTGACTTAAAAACGCATTAAAAATCATTTTCGATAAAAACAACCACAGAAAAAAAAAAACTGCTGATCACGCATAGCATCCAATTGGCCAAAGCAACCGTAGTGACCAATTCGCAGGGTTTTTCCGTATTTGTCGACATGCCCGTAGTCGGAGTCACACTCACAATCATAGTCACAGGCCACTTGTCTATTTCTAGCTCTATGTTATGTGAAAGTTTTGCCAAAAACAAAAGTCGCCCAATTTGTAATATAGAGCAACTTTGCTTCAAAGAAATTACCAGTAACTTCTATTAAGATTACCCTATGAACATCGTAAGAAACTAAGGTATAACTTACATGAGCTTATATGCATTACTTACTGAGACGATTTGAAATGCACGCAATAGAAATCATTGTTCAAATCTAGGAATTGATTTTTCAAGGAAATGAGCAAATCAGATCAAATCAAAAGAAATTGTACCCGGATTCTCGACAAAATTCTGAGCATATTCTTCGTATTTCACTAAATTGTTAATACAGCAAGATATTTTACGAATAAATTTTAAATAAATTAATCTTTGGGTCGAAATTCAAATAAAATAAAAATAAAAAGAGTATTTGAAAAAAAGCGTTAATGAATATTGAATCACATCTGTCCAAATAAATTGATTTAAATGGCCATAAGAAAATGCTGATCCTCTGTTTGCAGCCCACCCACAATTATGCGTGGTCTTCAAGCAGTATTAAAAAAAAAAACGAAAACGCCTTTTGCATAAGACAAAGAAGTTGTTGGCTGAGTTGACAGTCAATGTTTGCATTAAAAAAAAGAGCTCTGCCAAAAAAATAAAAATAAAACATAATAAAAAATAAATAAATAAAAACGCCAGAAAAGAGAGAAACAGTGAACAGCAGCATCAAAGCACGCAGAAAACAGATAAAAGCCTGAAATAACCTTCATTGGCCATAAAAATCAAAAGCAACAGCTAACAATGAAATGTGTCTATTGGCCACAAACAAAAGCAGCAACAAACAAATGGCAGTGAGCAAAAAATAAATAACAAATTAACAATTTAAATAAAATCACTTTATTACAGTTTCGCATATTCGCGACAATGTAAAGTGAATAAAAATTGACAATAAATTTTAAAAAGCCATGTTGTTTGAATGGCTGTGCGGGCAGCTAATGAACTTCCGGTCTTTACTTATAGCCAATGCGATGCATACAACCTGATTATGACCAAAAAAAAGATGGGCAAAGCCTTAATATGATGCACAATGAATCACTTTGGCCAAGCGCACCAAAAGTTCATAGGTTGAGCTCCGATCAGAGCTCCGAGCTCAGACCTGATATTCCCTCTTTCTCTCTCATTCGTTCTCCCTCTCTTTCTCTCTCTAACTCTCTCTTTCTCTCTCTACCTCTGTCTCTCTCGCTTGTAGCTGCATATGTTAGCAGTCTAGTAACCGGCATGACGTCTATCGCATATTTGTTGCTGCCGCTGCTGTCGCTGCCGGCGTCATAGACCTCAAGCTCTGCCTCCAATTGAAGCCATGGTTTGGGCCAGCGTGCTCAGTTGGCTACGAGCTGCAGCCGAGATTGGGCTAGCCGCGTGATACGGAGAGACCGCAACCGCAACCGAAACTTAAACTGAAACTAAAATACGAAATACGAAATACAAAACGAAATTTGGGACTTGAAGTCAGTCGCATTGCCTTTCTACGCAAACGTACGTGTTAAGTTTTGTTAATTGGTAGTCGTATTTTCAAGTGATTCGTTTGACGACACATAATCTAACAAAAATCACAACTGGTATCTTGTATCAAAATCAAAAAAAAAAAATAAATAAAATTAATTGAAAAAAGAGAAAACAACAAAAAAAAAATAATAAGTCTGCGAACTGCGTTATAAAGTTACTTCAAGTGCAGTGCGAATTTTGAAAATTGTGCCAAAAATCTGTACAAAATTAAATCATTTCATTGTTTAACTATAGTTGCTCAGTTGTTGTTGCTGTTGATGATCGCAAGTACTGAATGTGTTTTTATTTATAAATAAGCAAGGTGAGTAATAAATTCTTCTTTTTTTTAAATATATATTGTATACAACACATATATGCATATATATTTAATTTGCCCCGTGGCTGTTGACAAATTGAATCGATTCCAAAAGTTAAATAAAACGGGGCAAAAACAACAAGTTGATTTATTATTTTGAACAATTTCGGAAAGTTTGCAGCACATGTAACCAAAATTAAAAAAATAAAATAAAATAAAAACTCACAAATTAAAATAAAATGAAGCCAATGAAATACAAAAACAAAACAAACAGCATGACAACAACAGTAACAATAACAACAAACAAGCAACAATCAAAAAGAAGAAGAAGAAGCAGATGAAGAAGAAAAAAAGCAACAGCCTTGAAAAGTCGTGCTTAATTTCTCAGTTATACTCAAGTATAAAATATATGCTTAAAAAATTATAATGAAGCGATCTTTTGGTATTGGTATCTGGTATTTGGTATGTGGACTTTATATCAGTCCATTGTCTTTCGACAGCCAGCGTCCCAACTATGTGCTCGTGTGTCTGTAAGTGTGTGTGTGTGTGTGTGTGTGTGTGTGTGTGTATCTGTATCTGCGTGTACGTGTGTTGTCAGTGCTGCCAAATTAGTGCCAAATTAAGTTAAATCATTTTTATTGAAGTCCAAATTAATGGGCGAAAGCTTAGCTAATAGAGCTCAGGCGAGTGGGAGGTCAGCCAGCATGGATGCGTTATGAGGTGTGTGTGGAAAAGTTTATCAATTCGCCACGAATCGGTGCCAGAGATTTTAGTTAAACTATTTTAATTACCGCAGTTCATTACAAGATCTTCAGTTATCAAATCTATAAGCTGACAAAAAGGTTAAGAGACGGACGCAACATAAATCTCATCTTAAGTTTGTTATTCCCTCGACAAGGGCATAAATATATGAGCAATTAATCGTTAAGGAGCTTAAAGTTCTCTTTCGGCGAATTCCAAATGAATCTTACTTAAATGAATTAGCTATTAAAAAACAGATAAAAGAAATACATGAATATTAATTTATAAACTTTAATATTATAAACATTAATTTACGTATTTCTTATTTATATATTTACTTTCCACATATATCTTGAACATAATAAATTAACTGATTTTTTAAGTTTATATAAAAACATACATATTTAAAATACTTGTAATACATGACATAAATATTATATGGGGTCATTAGAGGCAGATCTTAGAGAACACAAAAAGTATTTACACAACCAATTTGAAAGCATATTTCGGTCAAAATTAACAATGTGACAATGAACCGTTAAAAATGTGCTAATTGCCAAGCAGAAAACATTTGCGACACATTCAGTACATTTTGGCCATATTGCCAAGTGACTAAATGCCATGCAAATGGCTAAATGTTCAATAAGCCATAAAACATCTTGAACAGCAGTCAAAAATCCAAAAGAGCAACAGACAACAACAACTTAATTTGTGATTTATGAGCTGTTGAACTGGCCGTGGTCTGCGGCGCCTGCGCAACATGGGAAATACCCAAATACGCCATGTGGGTGTAACTATACTATATATACAATGTACAAGAGTCGACTCCATTAGCCGAGTTGCCAATAGAGGCGACAATGTCGCTAAATGGCCCAAATGGACCGATTGGCCCGAATGGCGATGCTGTCAAGCTCATTTGCGCTTTTGAGTTTTATGGGCTTTTGTTATATTGGCGTTGGCTTTTGTGTGTTCGGCAAGTTGATTGATTTATGAAAACGAAAGTGACAGCCTCCATGTTAAGCCAGCCCTGACCATGTGATCCCGGAAATCCTATCAGAGCTACAAGCACACCACATTCCATGTCCAAGGCAGGTGTCTCTCAAAGAACAATTCGCAATGACATGGCTCTTATTCTAATTGTTGTTATTTATCGTTTCTCCGTGTCTAATTGTAGTGATTTTTTACAATGATTATTCTACTACACACATATAATATTCGTATGAAACTATAACACTTGCCTGGCACTGAGATTCCCCTGTCACGAAATCCGGTTTTTGATGGCTTATTGTGTGTGTGCTTTGCTCTTGATTGGAACAGCTTTCAACTTTTATGATTATTATTTCTATTTGCGGTAGCTGTTGAATTCGTAACGGTGATTTATATCTATAGCGAAGTTGGGAGTTAAATTTGGCTAACAACAGCATGTTTAATCAGCTTTTTAGATTTTTAATTAAAATTGTATTGTACGAGTATATTCTATATTAGTATAGCATGCAAGCCACTCTAAATTATTTATTAATTAATTATCACGCATATAAATTGAATTGTAAAACATGCCAAGCTAATTAAGGAAATGCCCAAAATCAACAATAAAAAACATGCAGGCAAATGTAATAAACTGAAAGTCATTTTATTGCAATTTATTAAGCTATTAATTAGCCAGAGCAGTCAAACAAACTTGATCCAGACAACAGATATGACTTAATTGAATCGCCTATTGGAACAAATCAATAAAAAAATACATAAATAAAATTATATAGAAATATATAAAATACTGATTTGTCTACCTTTTGCTGGACCTTCCTAAGTCCATTAATAATATAAAGGGGCATTTAAATCATTGATAACATCGAACTTCGTCACTTTTAACAACCAACAACTGTATCTCTCACAATTGACAGCTACTAAGTAGTATTTAAACCATTAGCAGAAGCAATTGAAATCATTTATAAATATGTGTTAACAGTTGGCAACCATTTAAGATTTGCATTCGTGACGCCCACTCGATGACTTGCCAAGTCACTAATCACCAGCAATTGCAATTGGAATTGCAACTGGGCGGATTGTGGCATTTGGACGTGGCTGGTGGCATTGTGTATCTATTGTTTGAATGGAGTTTATGGTTGCAAGGAGCCTCGCAACTCGTAACATTGTCGCATGCACTTTCACTTCTCGCAAATTTATTTTCGTAATTTACAAAGTGCTCATTGTTGTTGCTGTTGATTTTCTTTCTCAACTGAACTCCTGACAATACCTCCTACTCCACACCTCATAATTAGCGAACTTGTAGGAAGTCTGAAGTCTTAAGAAATAGTTTTGTGTGCTTAAGGTATATGTGTGTGTGAAAAACATTTTGGAGCACTCTGCAATTGTTTACAAAGCAAATGTCTCTAAGTTTTCCACATACAGTTTTCAGCGCAGAGCAGCTAAAAGCTATGCAAATTAAAAGTGACACCGTTTTATGTACATACGCGTAGTTAAATTGCATAATTTCTGGTTGACATTTACTAAGCATTTTCCACACTTTGAGTCAACTTAATGCATCTCATGAATTTTAGACAAATACAATTTTGGAAATGTGCAAAAATAAATAAATAAAAGATAATGGAATGTGGGCAACAATGCCTTAAAAAGTTTTCACATAGATAATTTTTATTTGAAACAAACAAAATTTTATATAACGTTAATTAATCATGGCTTAGTCTTTAGACATTAGCGCATAAATAATAATAAGCAATTTAGTTTATATTACATGTAATAGGGTTTTAGCTTGACTTATTTAAATGAAACGCTTTTCAAACAGAATTCAAACTGGCCAATTCATACACACAAAAACACGCGACACATCTGAATTAATTGTAGATGTTTGAATTGAAGCTAATTGTATGCTGTGTAGGCAAACAGATTGTTTACTTGGCATAATCGAATCGTGCATATTTAAGTGATTTATTGCAATTTCTCCAACGCACTCACTTTCAGCTCATCAGCCAAAACTGACATCACGCCAAACCGTCAAGCTAAAACAAAAAAATAAAAATAAAATAAATCAATTACAAATTCAGCTGAACTGAAGTCTTTTGTGTAAATAATCTGAGGCAACAGAAACGCAAATGCAAATGCAAATCGCCAAAGCCCAACACGACGAATGAATTGACAATGACAAAGAGTATTAAACGTCTCCGTTTCCACAACACTTCTAGTAGTTATAATGGTATTCTCTTTAGCTTTGTGGTGAGTACACAAAACACGGCAACTTTCAATCCATTCATTCATTCACAGTTTAACCATTTATCTATAGATATTAGCTTGTATCTCAGCTGCATTCAGTACGCCGCCATCATGTGGTTTATATGGCGCACCGCCTTGCCAGTTTTTGCCAGCGCCGCCGGGACAGACGCCCAAGTAAGTCTCGTGTTTATAGTCTGATTATGCTATCGATATCATCGACAATACTACAATATGATAAATTTCTTCAACAGCTGTGCCAGGCCCGGCAAAACCTACTGCGAGCACGTCGCCAACTATCCCACGTAAGTTGCCGGCTAATGGCCACAGTGTCAACATAAATAATACACTTAATGTGACCAGCTCCAAGAGAGTTCGAGAAGCAACAACAACAGCAGCAACAACACACAAAAACACATGCAAATGCATTTCAAACAAATGTTTGGCCATAATACATTGTTGGCTTATTGGCTTCAAATCAAATTCAAGACGTAAACTCGTTTTTGCATATACACGCGTGTCTATTGTTAATACCTCAATGGCTTTATAGATGTATACACGTCTGTATATAATACCTGTTACTTGATAGTTGCCAGTTGCCAGTTGCCAGTTGCTGGCTGCTGTTTCCGAGACAACAACGCACATACTCAAAGAAGCAGCATCTTCTGCTGATTCCATTTGCTGGCTTGCTGCTCCACCAGCTGGCCGAGCTCCTTGACCCAATAAACTTGAATTGACAGTTCAAGACACTTTGTCTGTGTGACGACGCACCGAGCGCTTCTCGAATATTTATGAAAGCCTCTATGAATAATTTAGCATTTCTATGCTTTTTGGCTCTCTGGGCATAACAACTATTAGACAAAGTCCGTAACACTTCTAATTGATTAAATTGAGCTGAATCTTGTAGGCATATTTTGTTGAATTCAGCAGAGAGTTTAAAATAATTGGTATACGTAATAAGCATACAAATTATGTGTATGAGGTTAAGGGTCTTTATATTTAAAATTACATTTCCTTTCAGTTTTCCCAGTTTTCTTATTAAAAGTATGCTTCTTACAAGACAGATATTTATGATTCAACTGAAGTATTTTAAGCAGCGTATTTGAGCAACGTTGCCATGCATATAAATCTTTTCCCAAATGCAAATCAATTTGTGTTAGTTTTGTCGTTTTGTTTTCCTGTCTGGTGGAATGGAAACATTTGTGGTGTTACTATTTTTAGACAATTTCTTCGATTTAAATAAAATGTGCGTTAAATGCTAACACTAAGCGCAATAATATTGACGATGATGATAAGGTGGACGGCAACTAAGGCCGCAATTTGGCGCCGTCTCGGCCATTAGGTAGGCATTTTTATGATACCAACGGAATTTTATATTGCATAATTCTAAAACAAAAAAATAACACGCGCAGACACACACAATATCATATGGAAGTTGGGAAAATACATAGTCCGTTTTCACCTTAGGCTGTGTGTGGCACGTGACACGCATGCGATTCAAGCAGATAAGAAGTCAAAGTGTTGAAAACATGAATACGACGACGAGCAATTTATGAATTACTCACAGCTATTGACTCATTCTCTGGCTGCATATAAATTATGATTTAGCGACTCCAAAAGGGGCGTAGGCCAGTTTGTGGCACATGTTTGGGTCTCTCTGTCTGTTCGTTGCTTACATAATTCAATTCCACTTTCCCATGTGGCAACAACTAATCTATTGAATTAAATCTCTTGCATCATCTGCAACAAGACAAGCTCAACTCATTGTCTTTGACTTTCGCAGGTACGTCATCAAGAGTCTCGTACGTAAATGGGGTTACGAGGCATCAGCTCTGCTGGTTGATGAAACCTGGGAGGAATTCTCAGCGGTTGCGTGGACGGACACGCCCGTCTTCTACGATCCCAAGTCCATATTCCCACAGCGTGACTTTTCCAATGGGCAGGACTTTAACGGCTACAGCTATCAGACGCCGTTTGGCGGTGTGCCTCAGCGTAATGGGGCAGGCAACTCTCTCTTTGCGCCCAATCCTACAACAGATGCGCCCACGTGAGTAGCTATATATATATTTACATATATCCATCTCAACAATTCTCAATTCATCCTGCAGCTATCTGCTGTACACCTCAGCGGGTGGTGGTAGGAATCGTCATGGCCAGCGTACGGTCAATCAGCAACCCGGTGGATCGGGTTCATCTCTCTACTACAATGGCCATTCGCCATACAATGCAACGCTTTGGCTGAAGCGTCTGGTGCGTGATCTAAGTCTAAAGCAGAAGGCCGCACAGGCGACACCAGCAAAAATTGAGGCTGACAAGGAGTTGGAGCAGCTAACCGAGCAGGAGAAGGAGCAGAGGGAGCAGGAGAAGGAGCAGCAGAAGCGCAGTGTGCGCGATGTGTCGCTCAACATGGATCTCTTAGATATTGTGGGCGTCAGCGATAACAAAGACGAGATTGGCAAAAAGTCGCGCGTAAAGCGACAAAGTCCGTCGCGTTCATCGCTCTGCGAAACCACGTCGCAATTTATAACGCCACAAGCGGCACTCAATTCGCGTGGCAATTGGATGTTTGTTGTCAACGAGGAGAGAACCGCTCGTCAAATGGTCAAGGCGGAGCTTTGTGCGTAAGTAAATCATTGAAATCGAAATCGCTTAGCGACTCCAGAGTTTTGCGCGCGTTTTTAGTTGGTTTGCTTTCAGAAAGCAGTTCCGGTTTGCGTCTCAGCTAGATATTAAAGCAGACTAATGCTGCTTAAGCAATTCACTGCTTGCGCACTGCTTGCTGTGGATTATCGTTTATTAAGATAAAAAATCATTTAATTTCAGTTCCGGAAACAACATTTTGGAATAGTTACTCAAGGATTTATATTAAATTCTTAATCATTTTTGAGATAGTTTCTTTATTTGTTTTTGCATCTCAACAGTGTTGAACTAAAGAAAATTTTAACTTTTTAAGATAAACCTACTGACATTATTATAAAAAATTTTAATGATTCCAAATACACATTTTGTGCTTGTATTATTATGCAAAATATTTTAAATTCAGTTCAAGTTAGTTATTAGTTAACTACCACCACCAGTTCTGCGCAATTTGACGTTATCAAGCCGTAAGTTATTCCAGATATTAATGGCATAATGACTTGCACTGATTTTCATTAATTAAATTGAGCACAACACTTGCAATCAGAGGCAGCAAAAAATAAACAAAAAAACAACAGCAATCCCCTCTTGCTGCCGCTGTCAACACAGCAGGACAGAGTGAACTCTACAAAGTGTGTTCCCCTTTGCGGCGCTTGGTATTTAGGTATTTAGGGGGCAACCCTAAAACCCAAAACCCAACTGAAAACTCTGGGCACGTGGGCAGAAAAGAAGTGCAAGTACACAAGTATATGGGTATGTTGTGCACGGTTATGTGTGTTGTGTCATAATTGCGGCTAAACGAATTATAACACCCCGAAAACGGCCAAGATTACCCAGCAACATTTTCCCTTCCCTTCTCTTGTCCGATAAAATGCCTCTTTTTTATGCGTGCGCTACTCAAACCTTTCAGCGAGCTGAGTTAAAAAGCGCAAACAGAGGTACAAAAATAGGGTGACGAGACCTTATTGAAGTGCATATACATTAAGTGAGGCAGTGCACAGACAGAGACAGAGAAAGGTGGAACAGAGAGAGACAGAGAGAAAGGGCTGCATTGGGTCTATATCTAACTGCGACTGGGGTCGGTCAATGCGTGCCCTAATTGTGTTTGTCGTTTGTCGCCTGCCTGTCCACCAACCCATAAACAAAGCTCTCTCCTTACCCCAACATTGAACTGCTTCTGCCTGCCCCTTCTAGTGTTGCACGTACTTTGTGTGCAATTTGTTTAACCAAATGAGTAGATGCGGAGCTGCTGCCAGACCCAGGAAGGGCAACAGCTGGAGAGTCACAAGTGCCTCCGGAATACCGTTGCTCAACTCCTTATCAATTACGTACGATTCCCGTTTTAACAAGTTCCTTAAACTTTCAACTTTGCAGCCGGCGCAGATCTTCCTTTTTTGCAGCTTTTTTCTTTTTGTTTTTGGTATTGTTTATTTACGAGCGCAGCCCACAACTAAATTTTGCCCGAGTTGTTGGTTTTGGTGCTGCTGTTTCCGTTCTTTTTTTTTGTGTATTTGTTCTTCTTATTGTTGATAATTTTCCTGACCTGTTTTTCAGCTCAAACACATGCTCGAACCTGTGCGATTTGCCCAATGGATATAACTCCAGGTGCGAGCAGAAGTTCGTACAAAAACGCTTAATTGCGCTGCAGGGCAATGGACAAAATCTTTACACGGACACGTTCTGGTTTCCCAGTTGCTGTGTCTGCACGATAGCCGCAAATTAAGGCAGCAGCAGCGGCAGCAAGAGTAGCAAGCGAGGCAGCATCAGGACCGGAACCGGCTTAATCGACGAAAAGAGATGACAGATAGCGAAAAGAGTGAATGAGAGAGGGAGAGAGAGAGAGAGAGAGAGAGAGAGAGAGAGAGAGAGCGAGCGAACTGTTTCACATCCAAGGAGACCAACGACATTTCAACATTATAATTAATGTCGCGCTGAAATGCGATGATTTTTGCAGCACATAATTGATAACTAAAATTAAAAAAACAACAACAACAAATACACACGCACACGCACACACTTTCATGCACACACACACACACACATACATACACATGTACTGTAGTTTTACATTTAATTTAAAACCAAGTAGCAAAAATATAATGGAAATACTATTCAATAAACGAACGAAATAACTAAAACAGAGTTTTAAATCAGCTTGCAAAAATACTAAACCTTAATTCTCATAAAACAATAAATGAATGCTTGGAATTACTACATTAAGTTCAATTTGTCTTTATGCATTGATAAACTAGTTTAATTTGTGCAATTTGATATTAATAAGAAGCTTAAAGCACATCTTTCACCTTACAAATATTTGGTAATTTATATTTTATTTGTTGCACATTCAAATTTTCACATAAAAGTATTCAATATTCAAAATATCAATTAGTTGATATTGCCCTGAGCAACGAGATTGAAATGTTATGCGGTTATATATTTAATGAAATAGTCGATTGCAGCCCTTTAATAATAATTATCAGGCATCAAATTGTAACACAAAACCAACAGAAAACGTTGCAACGCAGCTGCTGCAATTGGAATTACATTTCATAAATCCAAAAACAATAATCGTAAAATAACATCAGGTGTCACGCGCAAAACGGAACCCAATCGAAGGGGCCCGTCCTGCCAGTCCATCCATATATGGCTGGATGGATGGTCGGATGGATGGATGGATGGTCGGATGGATGGATGGATGGATGGATGGCTGGCATAATTGAAGAGGCTAAATGCATTCGATTGATGGCTACGAGGATATATTATTTTACGCAATAAGCGCACACACAGATGTATCAAAGGGAAACGGATGTATGGACAGTTTAATATATCAGACATATATCATAAGCTCTTCATTTCCAAGTAGTAATATATCAGACATATATCATAAGCTCTTCATTTCCAAGTAGTGCAGTAATTCATAATGTTGTACAATAGGAATTTGAATATCGAGCAAAGGTTGAGTATATATCAAAGCAGCATCCACTTCTTCTCTTATCAATATTCGCAGCAAGTCCATCCAAATGTTCTACTAAGACTTCAATCAAAATTTACCATGTGTTTTTTATCAGATTCTGTAGGATTTCCTTTCAAAATTCCAACTACAAATTGTATATAAAAACCTAGCTGTAGATGGATTCTACAACATAATATAACTCTACTATTTTATCATTATTCATATATTTTCTTTTATAATATAGACTATATAGAATAATTTAGTTTAAGTCCAACCTAGAGTAAATAGCGCTAGCTATTATATACCCTTTAGTTTCGCAGTTGAGTCGATTGTGCAGTGCTTAATAGGCACACAATATACGGACAAGGTGCAACAGCCTCGTACCTCGTACGATTTATACCTGTTGGGAAAATGGCCAAGTGAGAACTTGAAATCGAGTTCAGAACCGGCACAGTCGGACATACCCACCCACTGTGAGCGAGTCCTGTGAGCACCCTGCCTCTATGAGGGTTCATATTGTGCGATGTGTGCGTGCGTGTGTGTGTATGTGTGTGAGTTTTTGCAATGATTAGCATCATGAAATGGAAAACTATTGTTCCAATACGCAGCAGAGCGTCGTGTCGAGCACAACAACAATACAGACTCAGAGCCAGGTAAGGACATTGACAAATCAGGTAATGGATGAGACAAGCAAAGGGATGCGAAGTACGAAAGAACAAAAAACCAAGGAATGTGCAACAATTAAATTGCCAGCGGTCTGAAATGTTAACAAAAAATATATATATTTACATCTATATATATAAATATATATAAATATATTTGCAAATTGGTGACAAAATGCCACAAAACTGAAATCCAAAAAATCCAATCGAAATGTGTGAAATGTGTATGGGAGTCGAAGTTCACATGCAATGCCAAGTCAAATATGAAATTGCTGGCAACGCAGAGCAGAGCAAAGCCGAGCCGAGCTGAGCAGAGCCAACGGTCATCAGCATCAGCTTCCCTGTGTCTCAGTCGCAGTTCAAGTCGAATGAGGAGCAGCTGAAGTTTTGTGCCAAAGCAAAAACAGCTACGACTGCCTGACAACGAGCACACAGAGAGTGAGCAAAGGAAGCAACAAAACAACAGCAACAACAACAGCAACAGCAGCAGCAGCAGCGAGCAATAATAATGCAGCAGCAGCGGCAGCAGGCTGCGCAGTTGACGCTGGCAGCGAACGCAGCCGCTGCGTTGTGTATAAAAATTTAACATCTGCTCCTTTCATGATTTCGGAAAACTCAAAACTCGTACGACAGCAACAACAGCAGCAACAACAACAACAGCAGCAGCAGCAGGGCTGTAATGGAACAAATATAAATGTGTGTTGTGTGTGTTTCTTGTGTGTTTGTGTGTGTGTGTGTGAGTTGTTGTTGTTGCTGCTGGCTGTTAATGCATTTTGGCTTGTGTTACTCGTATTACGTGCATTTGTGCCGTAGTTTCGTAGCTGAAAGATCTCTTCTTTTTTGCAGCAGCAGCAGCAGCAACAATATAGCTGAAGCGCTGCTCACAGGACACACACACACACACACACACACACACGCACACACACCCAGGACCGGATGGGTCCTTGATGACGGGCCGAATGACTCGCGTGCATTCAACTTCAACTTCAGTTATCAGCTCACAGAACTTTTGCTCCTTTTTCTGCTGCTTGCTGCTGCTGCTTGCTGTTTGTGGTAAAGTGTTGCCATTGCCTCCTGCTTATACACTTACCTTCAACAGAGTACCATAACTCAGTTAAGGGTTATACAACACAAGAAAACGCCAAGCTGAAAGCAATTAATTGACTAGTTAAATATGATCAAAATATAGATTTGATTAGCAGTGGTAAATGGATTCAAATTGCCTTTTCCTTCTACTACTTTCTAAGTTACAATAACTCTCAATTTGTGTGCTGCTCAATAAGAGTATTCAATATTCGTCAACCATTGCAGCTCTTCTTTTTGTGCTCAATTTTTCTTCTTTTTTTTTTGCATTTTGCGAAGCTCGCGCGCGTTTCTTTCATTTTTCAAATACTTTGCTGCAACTGTCAGATACTTTCACGTTGTTGTTGCTGCAGTTGCCGCATGCGATGTGAATGTCCTTTGTTGCCTGGTAAAGGACACACATACACTTACAAACCAGCAGCCATAGAGAGAGAGGGACACAGAAGCAGAAAGAGGAGGGCTTGAGTCAGATGCAGAGGCAGAGACAGAGGCAGGGAGTTGCAGTGCTTAAGTAACTTAGTTGCACGCACAACTTGCAGCCAAAAGTTTTGCGAATACTTTTGCAGCGCAATCAAACGGCAAAGTGGCAAAGCCAAATCCAAAGCCAGCCAACAGAGACAGCAACAGAGCCAACAGAGATAGCGTTAGGGAGACCAATACGAAGACAGCAGCAGTTGCAATTGCTGCACAACGTCTCACCTCACCTCACCTCACCCTTATCCCATTTGCCGGCTGCGTATTGTGTTTGTGCAGATGTAACTTTACGAGCATTTTCTTGGCCTCTGTGTATGCGTGCGTGTGTGTGTGTGTGTTTGTGTGTGCCTTCTGTATTTACCTTGTGTGTGATTTTGGTGTGTGTAGGACAGGTCAGTGTTGCCTGTGCGTAGTAGGATAAGAATTTTTTGGGATAAGGGTTACCTTTTACCATTTTTCCATTACGCAATGCAAATAAGCGACAGCGGCTTCAGCCCACTCCACCGTACCCTACCCGTTGCCTACCCTACCCCTGGCTTACTACCCCCTGCCGATTCCCACGCCATTCAACAATGCAACTGTCAAGGTTTTTGCCTGCCTTTTTTATTCGCCAACATGCATAGCGGCAAGCTCCAAGCGCCATTCACTCCCACATGCGATGGCATCAAACGGCATTCTGCCAGCTTAAAACTGCATGGCCGAAAGAGCAGAGAATTCAGCTGAAAAAAAAACGCACACAAGCTCAACTAATAGTTTGGCGAAATACACACACACACGAAAAAACGGAGAAAAAAAGTGAAATGAAATCAACTGACATATAGACCCTATCCAGCCAGCCAGCCAGCCAGCCAGCCAGCTATTGGAATGAGGACTAGTGCCACTGGCAGGACTCCAACTCCAACTCTGATTCTGACTCTGTGTCGAGGAGCTCTTTACAAAAGCTGGTAGCAAAAAAAAAAGTAAAATAAGAAGGCAAATTGTACCGAAAACCCGCAGCAGCAACAACAAGAACAGCAGCCAGTGCAATGCCAGCAAGGATATGGCACACACACACAGACACACACACACACAAATGAACTGTTACGCCCACAAGGTCCAGGCATCAAATAGAAATGAGAACAGCAGCAAAAGCAGCAGCGAAATAAAACCAGAAAATATTCACTCGTATTGCTGTTCTCGTTGTTGCTGTTGCTGTTGCTGCTGTTGCTGTTGCTGTTGCTGTTGCATAGCTCATAGATTGCAAGTTCGCATTGTGCGCGCGAAACTAGGGAAAAAATTTTTTAATTGGAACAACAACTGTACAGGAGACGCGGTGGCAGCAGCAACAACAACAACAACAACAGCGGCAGCAACAACTACAAAAGCGCACTTCAAACGCCGCATGGTCGTGTTTATGTGTCGATTTATACATGTGTGTGTGTGTGTATGTCAGTGGCAGCAGAGGGCAGCATGCAGCTGTTGATGTATACGTATGTGTGTGAGATTGCCTGCCTGCGTGTGTGTGTGTGTGTGTGTCTGTGTACAGGACTTGTTTGAAGCAGGACACCCAACAGCAAGCAACAAACTGGCGCAGCGAACATGCCTGAAAGATGGTATGAGTTGCTGATCAAAGGTTGCAACGCAACATGCCGCAGAGACAAGTCAAAGCAACAGGGTGACACAAGTTAAATGTATTTCAAAAATCGAATACAAAAGTTAATTTAGATATAATTTTAATTGTAATTTTAATTGTATCAGAAAACATTACTTGCAAGCAATGTCAGCTTGCATTGCAATGAATGTTATTCTATTAAAATTGATACATATCAGATATAAATAAGAATTTAAGTTATTAAATTA